TTGAATGCATAGAGCTACAGTCTAACATTCAACTTAAAGAAAAATTGGATCATGTCTCTTTAGTGGACTTTTATACATCCCATCTTCCCAGAGACAAATCTCCCTCACTTCACAATCATGCCTTATTCATGTCATCACTTTCTGGAAGCACATTTGCAAGCTACTATTTTCAAGAATGAAGCATGTTAAGAGTAAAATTAGAAGCAAAATATCTGATGAGCACCTTAAGAACTCATTAAAAATTGCAGCTACTTCCATTGAACCAGATATCGATGCATTAATTCTCAAATACAATGTCAATATCCCACTAGTTTTATGTTGCCCACTTTTCTGTTACTTCTATAATAAAAAATATTTTTTAAAACATTGTATTACTTTTTCATTTTATGTACATTTTCTATATTAATGATCACAAACTTGGGACCCGCTCAATGATTTATAAGACTCTCTGGGTTGCTGCATAATTAGGATTATTATGTGAGAACTTATGTATCTGTAGTGGTGGATATCACCAAAATTGTGTATGGGCCTTGTTTTTGTTCATCAGCTTTCATTAGTATTTGTGTATTTAATGTGTAGCCAAAGACAACTCTTCTGCTTCCAATGTGGTCCAGAGAAACAAAAAGGTTAAGCAAATATGAAATGTGCCTTAGACCAAGGCTCAAGGCAGGGGAGACCCAAACAAAGAATTTTAGTAGTCCAGGAACGGGATGCTGAACTAGCAACAGTATGTATATCTTAGCAAGTAAAATCAACAAGAAATTTTAAAACTTTTTTGTTACAGAGATTTCTAAATTTATACCAGAAGAAAATAGAACACTGGCCCATCAGAAATCCTCTATAATTATCAACACCTTGCTAAACACTTTGCTTCATCTGTATCTCTACCTACTCACCCGCTCACCTCCCTCTACAGAAACACACATGGATTATTTTGAAGTGAATAATAATATTGACATAAGAATTTGAAAACAAGATCTCAAGATTTCCAGTCAATTTTCCAGTAAAGATGGATTATTTTAAAGTGAATCCTAGATATCACTTCAACTAAATTTAATGACTAAAATTCAGGATGGCTTTCAGAGTTTAGGCTTCTTGGTTTAACAATTACTGACTTTTGTCAGAGATGCAGAAGTAGGTTAGAAGGTGAAGGAATTGATGAGTCTAATTTGGGACATGCAGAGTTTGAGGTACTTGTAGGACATTCAGTTGTAGATATCTAGCCAACTGTTAGGATTGTGTTCTGGCATAAGATTGAGAGATGAGGTCTAGAATGGGGCATCATCTGCCCACAGATGCTAGTTGAAGGCATGGCAGTGGCAAGGAGAGCCCTGGGAAATTTGAGCCCCAGGAGGTTCAGATCCTGGTAAGCAATGGAGGGTGCCTTCCTGTCCAGGATTATTTCGTTTGCCCTTGCTCTGTGAAAGTATTCAAGGGAGTAAAATTCATTGCTATTCTTTATGTATATGTAAGTTTTAAGAACATGAATTAAGGCTCCGCACCCATAGCTCAGTGAGTAGGGCACTGGCCACAAAAACCAAGACTGGTGGGTCGAGCCTGGCCCAGGCCGGCTAAACAACCATGACAACTGCAACCAAAAGATAGCCGGGTGTTGTGGGAGGTACCTATAGTCCCAGCTACTTGGGAGGCTGAGGCAGTAGAATCACTTAAGCCCAAGGTTTGAGGTTGCTGTGAGCTGTGATGCCACGGCACTCTACCAAGGGCAACATAGTAAAACTTCTGTCTCGAAAGAAAAAAACCAAAAGCATTAATCTCATTAAGTAGCACATAAGCTCTGTCTTATAGAACATCTTTTGTCAGTTCTTAAAATGGATTAAGCCATCCTGCTGCCATGTAGGGGTGGGGAACCTACAGCCTTCTGATTTCAAAATTGTTCTTTTTTAAGCACCAGAAGAGGCAAGAAAAGCTTCATCATCTTTCTCTGTTGTATCCCTTTTAATAAAAAGGATTGGTTCTATAAAATGTGGATTCATTCAAAAGGCCACACTTAAGGACCTACAAGGCCACAGGTTCCCTACCTGTAGAAGGCAGTTACATTGGTTTGTTTCTGTGGTATGTTTTATCTTCATAAAATGTTATCACCAAAGAAAAATAATATGGTAGCAGTATTTAATGATTTTACTGATGTCACATTATATTACTGTTTTTTACAGGGATAGACTGTCTGCTAGTGACATGCTTCAAGTCCGGAAAGTTATGGAACATGTTTATGAGAAGATTATCAACTTAGATAATGAGTCTCAAACCACTAGCTCTTCTAATAATGAAAAACCAGGAGAACAGGAAAAAGAAGAGGATATTGCTGTACTGGCAGAGGAGAAAATTGAACTTTTGTGCCAGGACCAGGTAAGTAGACTTGAGGACCACATCTCCATTTTTTTCAGTAGTGTTGCTCAGAAAAAAAGCGACAATAGGGCATGAATATTGTTCCCAAATTTGTTGCCTTTAAGAGGGCTTCTACTTTTAGAGAGACTTTAAGGTGTCCTGCCTCTCCCACCAGTAAGGGCCTTTCCAGGTAGCTTTTCAGCCCACCCTGTAGCTCCTGTTTACCTTTAGGGAGGTTTTCAGGAAAAGGATACATAGATTTAAATAGACAAATATGAATGTACTGACAGAAAAAGATGCATAGTCTTCCTGATTTGCAGAGCAACATGTGCCGTGTTAGTTTAAGAATTGGAGTGGAGGTAGGTACAGAAATGGCAGAGCTATTTTTGTGCTCAAGACATGTCTTCAAAGGAATAGTTGAAAGAGAGCTTGAGTTTTTCTGGCATAGTCACAGAAGATCCGCATCTCACTGAGCCTAATGTTGGGCCTGCTTACATGGAAGCTGGGATAGCCAGAGCAGATTACCAGGCACAGGGGAGGAATGAACAAGCTGGATCACTTGATGAGAGCCCCAGAGTTAACAGTAAAGGTTTTAGATATTAGGAACTGAAATTTTTAATTTACTTTTGGCTGTTCAGGTTTTGGATCCAAACATGGACCTTCGAACAGTGAAACACTTCATATGGAAGAGTGGTGGAGACCTTACCCTCCACTACCGTCAGAAGTCCACGTGAAGGAAGGGCCAGTGCTCCTGGGTATTCATTTACTCTCTTCCTCTATGGTCCCAAGAGTAGTCCTAGGAAGCCCACTGAGCCCTAATGGGAGCAAAACTCCTAACAGTCGACTTGGTATGGACCGAGATTATCTTTCAATTGAAGTGACTAATTGAGATGTAATATAGAAACCAGTCTCCATGTGTAGATTAAGCTGTCCCCAAAGGAGCAGAACGCAAGAACAGAAGAGCCCCAAGCAGACACTGTTTTGCAGGATGTACAGAGAACTGACAACAGGCCAGTACAGACTTTGCTTCCTCCTTTTGTTTCAAAGGATTTTGTCTTTGTTAGCACTTGTTAGTGACACATTGGTCAGGGCACATCTGTCACCGTGTTTCAACCTCAAACCCATACGCTCTCTAGCTTTTTTAAGAGAGTACATTCCATTGATGCAGTAGCTATGAACGCTTTTTCCAAGTTTGTCATTAAAAAAAATCAAATTGTTTTCACCATTTAAGATAGTTATTTTTAATGGGAATTTGCTGTTGCAAAATTTGAGAACCAGCCCATTTCATAATAAATGATTAATGTTGGGCTTGTTTTTAATATTGCATCTCAGATGTATTCTTGTAGGAAGATCTGTTGAAATTCCAGGTGCTGGAATCACAACACTTGGACCGCTGGGCCAGAGTTTGTGCAGCCTCTGCCTAGCAATGCTGCACCCCACCCCCATAATGCCCTGGCTGTGTAGCAGCCCCAGGGAGGTGCAGCTGTTTCACCCCTTCCTCCACTGTGTCCAGTTTTATTTACAGGCACAGCCAGCTGAAACCATAGGTTCTTGCTCTAGTGAGCAGTATGACATCATTCAAACTTAAGATCATGATGAAATTTTAATTTCATTCAAATGTTACTTAAAACCTACAGTATCGGAGTAAAGGGATATCATAGTTAATTTGATATTCATAACCTGGAAGTACATGTTTGTTTTTCCAAAGTTTTATATGCAGGTTTTTGTTGTACCTGTATCCTGATCTTCTTTTCACTGTTCTTTCTAACAATCTAAAGCTTTCATAGAATCATTTGGATCTTGTACAGCATATAATTTATTGGGGATAAACACTTCAACTTTTGGCAGAAAATACTTAGGATTTCCCCAAGGTCATTTGTATTCAGAGTAGACCAGTGGTCCACTCCCATAAAACTACATACACAAGCCTCCTGTAAGAAGCCAGAAGCACAAGTGCCTTCAGAGGGCAGTTTATTCCAGTCCATTTGCCTCCCCAGCTTGTGTGTGGCCTGTCCCCACAATAGCAGGGACTGGGGAGTAGGGCAGGGGAAGGTTTTTTCTTTTACATCTTCACAGGTTCAGCTGGGGGCAGCTGTTGGGCCTAGGTCCATACCTTACTATTTGAGATATTCTGATCCGCACAACTGCAGAGACAGGGTTCCCTCACTGCTGGCCAGCTTCCTTTGGAAATTGGACAGGCCATTGTCTCCTGCACTTTGAAGAAATGAGCAAAGACATGGCCATATTTCCAATGAGCTGAAATGGTTATTCTCCCTTCCTCAGAGAGCAACCAGCTTCTTTTTTTTAAAAGTCCTTTCTATCTGTTGGATACAACAGCGCACTTTTGGTGCATATTTTTTAGCAATAGTTGTGAATTAATGGCAAAAAAAAAAACCAAAAAAAACACCTCATTTACCAGCCCTCAGTTGTGTTTGCACAGGGGCCTTTGAGCTAAAGAAACAGATTTTGCTGGGTTATTTTTGCCCTGTGTGCTGAGCCTTGGGTGGTTGTGCTCCCTCCCTGTCATAGATCTGACCCCCAGCATGATTATACTCATTTCCCCTCCAGTAATAAAATTTCCAGAAAATTTGACAGTCTGCAATGCCAAAAGGGTAAAAAATCTGTATTTCAGTTGTGTAGAATAAAGGCTTTAGTTAAAATACTTCAAAGTGTGGTATACATTTTTTCCACTTGTCATTTTCCTTTATTGTAGATTATAGAGAAAGAAACCTCTAGTTTCATGTTCACCCTGGAAATTAGGATTGATACCCATATTATCCCCCAATTTGTGAAGGAGAGGAAAGTAAAAGGGAGGGAAGAGCCAGAACCTTTGGGTGAGGGCAACTTTGGGTTAGACTGCCAGGCTGCAGAGTTAAGGGAAGCTGGCCCCGGAACAGTCCTGTGGCGATTCCATTCTACTTCCTGCATTCCTGCAGACTTGACACTGGGCTCCCGGACAATCCAGGACACAATGGCTCACTGTTCTACAAGCTTATCGGCTGCTCCAGTAGGCTTGACAAGGGCTTTTTTAGTGTAGTCACAGTGCTTAAAACTTAGTGTTACTGATTTGAGGTCCTTCCCCTATCCCCTACCCCCACAACAGATAGCCCTTGTCCTGCAGACCTGACAGAGCTGCTGAGTTCCCTGTATGTACACAGACATTACAAATCATGCTGGAAAGGTGAGACTCTCAAGTGGGCACAGGCTAGAAGACAAGACCAAAGGTAACTCTCACAGTAATCAGCAAGGAGTGTGGGACAGTTGAGGATCCAGTCAAAGCAGCATCAGACTGCAGTTGATGAGGGGCCATCTCTAGATGGAGCACTCCTCTTCTGCAGGAACTGAGCAGAGCAGAGGCCCCACCCCAAAGGCACCTAGGGGTGGAGAGAATAGCTTCCTCTTATACTATAGGGAAGAACAGAAGGACTCTTACTTACTCTTGTCTATGCCCCAATTCCTCCTGGCTGTGTGAAGAGACCTAGTTGGCTATGAGAGTTTGCTTAAGATGGTAAACTTAAATTTGCAGCTTATATTCACTACTGGGGCTAGCTGGATCCCTTGTATATAGAAAAGACATAGTTGTTTAAGTTTGGGCTACCAGGTATTGCCACTGGGAATACTAGGTCTGTAGAGTGTAGGCTCTGAGGAAAAAGAAACATGGTGGTCTCTGGGACAAGCGAATCTCTGCTAAAGGGACTAGAATTTCCAACACCTTCCTTCTAGGAGGGATAAGCAAGTACACTGCCTCTCTCCAACCTTGACTGGCATGTTAGCTAACCTGAGCCAACTGTGGAAGTAAGTATAGGGATGCTGGCACGTGACAGAGGAATCAGTGATTAGAGTTTGGGGGTCTGCTAGCTGAGCTGTGCAGGAATGATCAAGGCAAGCCCTATTTAAAGCAATCAGGCCAACAGGCAACACCAGCCCTTTCCTTCCTTACCTCATCTACATGTTGGATTATGACATGACTCTGCTACCTCCTGAGCAGCCCCAGTGACCAGAGCAGGAGCAAACACTGGACCTGAGGGGGCATGGCCAAAAGATGCCCTCCCCCAAGGTGCATGGCCATCTCTGATTATACACTGAAGCTTCATACCTCACCTGTGCAGGGAATCCGTCTTCTTCTACCCTAGCTCCTGCAAAATGTATTTAATCTGGGGTACTGTTCCTAGCCCTCTACTACCCCAGAAGGACTTGTTTGAAATCCCCAAAGCCAGGACCATCAAGCAGGATAAATGCTGGGAGGCCATCTCCTGGAAACCAAAAGTAGTGTCTGACCAGACACAAACGCCCTCTGCCAGCAGAAGTTCCTGCACATCACACCTGGAGCTGCAGCTTAGGAAGCTTAAATGCACAGAGCTGGGCTGCCTGCCCACACCTGGGCCTTATGAAATGTCGTTAGGGACCCTGTTATAGCCCAGGGTATTATTCTGGGCTAGAGATCTGGGCCTGGCTGGCTGGCTGGCCCCTCAGCCTCTACCCCCAAATCTGAGCTCTCTGTGCTTGCTGGCTCTTCCTCAGCCTGAGCTTCTAGGAGCTCAGCAGATAGCCCATCTTCTGGTGAGGCTGTAGAGGTGAGACTGTCTGGAAGAGTCAGCTGTGGCAGGTGGTCCCGCTGGATTTGGGCACCTGGGCTGTCTAGGAAGGAGACCTCAAACTCTGACCCAGACCATGTGGCCTCACCTGAAACACAGAAATTATGGCTAAGGAGGCCTGCAGAACACAGGGCCATGGTGCTAGGGCCAGTAACCCCACTGTAACTGGATGGTCAACCTCCAACCCACCTGAGGAATTCATGGCAGCCTTCCCAACAACCTGGGGTCCTTCCCAGAGGACTTCAGGAGGTACTAGCCACTCACCACCCCGCTCATGAGAACTGTTGGTAGAGCAGACATCCTCTGGCCCTGAGGCTGAGACAGCTGTGGAAGTCAACACTGTGGAAGAGGGCAGACTGGACCACACACTGGCATTGCTGCTGTCCAAGAGTGAAATACCTGACACGTCCAGGAAGCCTATGAGAGGGGGGCACAGTTTTTGCCAGCACAAAACCCTGACCACTGGAAAGCCAATACCCTGGGTTCACCCTGCCCTGTTCCAGGGGCATCTGGCCCAGCCTGTAAAACTTTCCTCTTCTCAGCCCTGGTGATGCCTCTCACCCAACCCGAGAGGTCCCCATTGCCTATTTCTGAGGAAAGAAAGGGACCTGGGCATGGTATCAAGGGAGTAGAACTGTGGTAGTTGGCCATCTCCAATTTTCTGTGTGACCTAAAGTAGGCCATCTCTCTTCTCTGGATTACGGACTCTGTCCCTGCACTAGACTGAATGATCTACAACTATCTTGGAATATGTGTGATATAAGGGGTCAGCAAGCCCCAGGGAAAGTTCTGGCACTGCTGAGAAAGTCCAGCTACGAACCCAGGTCCGCTTCTCTAGGGGCTACCCAGTACCTGGGTCCATGACTCGCTGCACCGGAGGTGGAGGGTGAAGAGTTGTCTCCATATGTGGAAGTCCCACAAGGTCTGGAGCATCATGGCTGGGACTCCCAGGTTCAGGAAGTGAGTCCTCCATGGGGGAACTGGGGGTCTGCAATAGGGCCTGGGGAGCCAGGAAAGAGGAAAAAACAGGGAGGGGACAGTCAGGACAGGACTTTGAGATAAAGAAGTTTATAGTCCAACCTTACCATCAGCCGACCCTTGCCCCGTGAGCTCCTCTGCTTAAAGGAAAGGAACAGCCATACCCTTCCTCTCTAGGCAACATGAAGTCAGGCAGAGAGGCCTGCCTGGGACCCCCCTGCAGTGTGGACACAGAGAGAGCACTCTCTCCACTGTGCTGAGAAGCCCCAGGTGCCCATCCAGCCCCAACACATTCCCTTTGCTGCCTGCGCCCCCATCAGTGGCCCACAGAAGAAAGGGCCTTCCTTGAATTCAGGCATACCTGGAGAGATTCTCAAATGCCCCCAGCACAAACCCCATGCATCAGCCTAGTACCCAAAGGTGCCTTCAGAACTGGCTCATTAGCTATGAAGGCAAGGCCAGTACTTCCTTGCAGACTTGGCCAAATAACCATCCAACAAGGACTCGAGAAGCCCAGCTTCACCACAGACTCCCTAAGGCATTCAACAAGCACATCTTAGCCTCAGTTACCCACTCATGAAATGAAGATGACAACTAGTGCCTCATCTCTACCCTTATCATTATATTCAAGGGGTAAGATAAGAGAGCCAAAAGTGAATTTCACTCTCCCAGGGAGGGCCATCTGGTCCAACTGGTCCCAGAAGCAGAGATGCCTCTAAGAGCATAAGGGCCTCCCAGACATCCCTGGTAGAGGTTGCTGATGGCTCCCCAAGGGCAACCTCCAGAGTCTTCTCTCTTCCCAGCTGGCAGGTCCCTCTACCCACAAGAAACTCCCCTCCTCCCCTGGCTGGCAGATGCTCCCCACATACCTCCATATATTCACTCTGCCTGGAACCCATCTCTGGGGCCGGAGAGTCCAGTGGGGTGGGTCCAGGAGGCAAGGCACCATGCAGTGGGGTGCCAGGCAGCAGGTCACCAGGCAATAGGGCAGCAGGTAGTGGGACACTAGGGAGCAGGGCATCAAGCGGCAGGGCACCAGGTAGTGGGGCATCAGGTGGTGAGGCCCCAGGGAGGGGGGAACCAGGCAGTGGGGCATCAGGTGGCAGGGCACCAGGTAGTGGGGCATCAGGTGGCAGGGTACCAACTAGCAGAGGGTCAGGTGGTGGAGCACCAGCCGGCAGGGCATCAGGTGGCAGGGCAGTAGGTGGCTTCTTGTGGTTGGGTGGCTGAGTTGGGATCCGGTGTAGATACCCATAGCCGATGCCACACCCCAGACTGCCAAAGGCCAGAAATATCCAATCCAGGGGCTTACCCCATAGCCCTCCCTCCCTTTACCACCCCTACCAACTGTACTAAGTGGGCTAGAAAGGGAACTTCTGGACCAGTGGTCAGCCTCAGTATCCCATGGGAATGTGTGGTATATGCCCACTGGTCAGGCCTTGTCACCTAGTCCTGCAACCCTCCAACCCCAGGAAGTACCTGCCATCTCCACCCCAGGCTGCGTTGGGAGTTACAGTCACCTCCCGGCAAGAGTCAGTCTCAGAGTTATAAACCATCAGCTTCAAGGGCTTCCCCTCATGGGATTCGATGAGTGTAAAGAAGTCTTCAGACTATAAGAAACACACTGCACCTGTGGCCTGCTCCCAGGACCAGACTTAAAACTTCAAAAAAAGAGATACTTCTCATGGACAGCACCCATCTCTCTGCATCCCATCCAGGGGAGCAGCTGGGGAGGGCCAAGCCATGGGTTCCTCACCTCCTGGAGGATCTGGTCTGAGCCAATCACATAGTCTGTGTAGGACCGCAGGCCAGCAAGAGCAGCAGGTGATGATGGTTGCACATCCTGGAAAAAGAATGAAGACTATCAGCCTCTTGCTGGGTAGGTGTGGGGTGGAGGGGTGCAGGGCTCAGGGGAAGCCACCTCCCCAGGTAGTGAGTAGGAAGGACACTATTCCTGTCCCCAAGCCCAGATTCCTTCCTCCAATCTACAGCCTGACCAGCAGAGGGCAGCACAGTGGCATGGCTCAGCACCAGCTCTTGATCCCTGGTTCCACTGATGCTAGGGTATGATTTAACAAATTATTGAAACTCTCTCAGCCTCAGTTTCCCCACACTTAAGAACAAGTACATAGTTACCTACCCACAGGGTTGCTGATAGGATTAAAGAAATACATTCAAAGAAAGAAAACCACACTTTGGCCACAGTAAATCCCCAACTGCATTGCTGTTCCTGCTGTAAGCATGTGGCTAAACAGCCCAAGGGTCAGAGGTGAGGCCAAAGAGCAAACTGGATACAAGCAAGGACTGCTTTCTGTCTCAGAAAGCTCTACCACTCCTAATCCCCCAGTCTCCCTGGGAAATGCAAAGGAAATCTGTATCACCAGTCCCAGCTTATTCATGGGCAAATAGAGGCTGGCTACAAAGATTTAGAAATGTGGCTAAACTCCCACAAAAAGTCAGTGAGCAATAAAAATGACCAGAACCCAAATTTCCAACTTCTAGCTCAGGCACCCTCCCCTTCCAATAAGCCATGGGACTGAGCATTTGAGAACACAGACACCACTGATGTGTGCAGAGGTCAAGTGTGCACGTGTATCTGTAAACAGATTCTAACATCTATGACAGCTTAGTCACTGAGGTTAAGATACTGATTCATCATATAACAATATGCCAGAAAAACCACTGTATATACAGTCATATTGCTTAACAACAGGGATATATTCTGAGAAATGTATCTTTAGATGATTTCATCATCGTGTAAACATCATAGAGTGTCCTTACATAAACCTTTACAATACAACCTACTATCCACCTGGGCTGTGGTGAAGCCTATGGCTCCTAGGCTATGTACAGACCTACACAGCATATTACTATAGTGAACACGGTAGGCAATTCTAACACAATGACAAGTATCTACATAAACAAAGAGAAGATACAGTAAAAATACAGTATTATAATCTCAAGGGGCCACAGTCTGATTTGTATGTCTGTGTGTCTACAGAGGAAGAGGGAGACGAGGGGAGGGGGGAGGAGAGAGAGACTAACACCAGCAGCAGCATGCTGGCAGCACAACCACCATTCCAGTAGCTAGCATTCCCACCTTTCAAATTTAGTAACCTAGGTATAAAAGGTAAGACAGTGCCCAAAGCCACATGGCTAACAAGAAGCAGGGTACCCTCTTTAGGTAGTAATGAACTGCCCTCTCTGAGATGAACTGGACTGTGCCCTCATAGAGTCCTCTAGTAAACTTGTCGGTTGTTGGCCTCTCTGACCATCTGGCTCTGATCCCACCCCTCTCCTGCATACCCTCCCTCCCCCGACAGCCCTGCTGACCCCACCCGGCCCCACACTCACCAGCACGTGCCACACGTACTCGTTGGCTCTGCTGAAGCTGCAGAAGCGTACACTGGCACCCAGCAGGCCCTGGCCGCCCCACATGTTGCTGGGCACCACCTCCACCTCACGCACCCTCATGGTCTTCATACTGAATACCTCCAGCTTCACAGGCTTCTCCACGTTGGCCTTCAGCAGTGCCCTCAAGGTGTCATTTTCCTTGTTCTGCAGAGGTAGTGAGGCTGATTCCAAGGCCACCACCCCCCATGCCAGGGCTGGGACCCTTGGACAAGTCTGGGCTTGAGATAAGGCAATGGCCTTGGTGGCCAGCAGCCCCAGGAGGGCCTGTAACCACTGCAACCTTGCCTCCCAGCACTCCCAAACCTTCCTCCCCCAACCCACCAGAAGACATGACAAAGCAAGCAAAAAGCCTCCTGTGTCCAGAGCACTCCAACTGCCCCTCTGAGCTTCCCCTTGGCCAAAGCCCTCATGCATGGCCTAGGAGGCAAGCCTCTTAGGCCTTGTGGCCACCTTCAAGAGTCCATCTGTCCCTAGGAGCTCAGGAGGGGAGGAGGAGGGGGCCCCAATAAGGCTCTGAGGATAGCCCCACAAGAAGGGGAGATAGGCTACGCTCCCCCTAGAAGAAAAGGAAGGGAAGAGCAGACTGGGGCCTCTGTGAACAGCTGGATGGAGACACACACATATAAGCAAAGCAGAGACAAGGTAGAGAGCCTCACCAGCCTCGAGTGCCCAATGGTGAGGATGAAGTCAAAGTAGGGCTCCAGGCCTGCCTTCTGGGCTGGGGAGTTTTCCTGTACCTGTCCCACAGCAGAGGCCAGAGTCATGCACCAATCCCATAGCTGTCCGAAAAGCCCCCCACAATCAATTTCAGAAACCATCCCCACTCTCAGTGTCCCAGTGAGGACAAATGCCTGGCACAAACTGTTCTGGGAATTGTCAAGGGCCTTTCCATCCATCCTCTCTTCCTACCTTCCTAGTCACAAACACATGTACTCTTCTTAGGAAAATGGTTCTTTCCTGATTGTGATACACAGATGCTTCTAGAGATGCCTCATAGCCAAGGCAGCCCTGGAGACTACCAAGAGGCAAAAGGGACACAGGCTAATACAGGACTGTAGGAATGCTGCCCCACAGACTGGGACTGGGGCTGGCCGGAAAGCCAAAAGGGTTTATCAGAAAGGTTTATACTGGATAAGAAGGGAGGGCCCTGACATGCAGTGGAAGCCGGCAGACCCAGGAGGAATGTAACCAGAGCTGTGCCCAGAAAGGAGTGGGGAAAGCCATCTGTGACCAGATCACAGGGCGTCTCAGACCCTGGAGTAACAGACACAAGCTCAGTCTAGCAGACAAGGAGACCCTCTGAGGCATGCTGATACAGGAGAGCTGACCCTGGGGATAGATTGGGCCTGAAGTAGGGAGCCTAGTGGGTAAGCAGTGTTAATCCCAGTACCCTGGCTGTGGCCTGAGGAGCCTCCCCAGAGCTCATCTATGCCTCACAGTCTCACCTCCATGCCCACAAGAAACACCTTCTCTAGGAGGCATGCTCAGGTCCAAGATGCTCCCTGCCACTCCCTGAACTCCCCAGCTCACTGCAATCTCTCAAAACACAACCAAGCCTTGTAGGCGATGACAGAAATCCATCTCAAAGGCCCCATTTTACAGAGCCTCACTGCAATAATGTGGCCTTTGTCCCATGGTCCTGGACCCTGAATGTAGGCCCACACTGACAGGGCTTTGGCTGTGGGGACTTGACCCATTGGTCAGGCATCAACCAGACCCCAACCAAGAAGGTACAGCACTATGTGTTCTCAGGTTCTCTACCCACCAACCCCTCCAGCCTTCAATTCTTGAACTGAAGGGAACCACTGAGAACTACTGAACCTGGGATCAGGGCCAGTTTGCCCCCAGAATTAGGACTCCCTTCTGGCAACGTCACCAATTAAGCCACTGCTTGTCACCTCCAGAAGCTGCATGGCTTCCAGTGGGAATGACCCCAGCAACCAACTCCTACCCTAGCTGGCCTGGCCCAGAAGGTGGGCCCTGCCCTCTGTCCCTTCAGGGGTCTTGTGAAAACCATAAGACAAGCCTGGACAACATAGTGAGAACTCATCTCTATTAAAAAAAAATTAAAAATTAGCCAGGCACAGTGGCACCTGCCTATAATCGCAGCTACTTGAGAGGCTGAGGCAGGAGGATTGCTTGAGCCCAGGAGTTTGAAGTTGCAGAGAGTTAGGATCATGCCATTGCACTCTAGCCCAGGCAATAGAGTGAGACCCTCCCTGTCTCTAAACCCACTATCCACCTGCTTCCCTCTACCACATTGTGTGTCAGCTACTCTCCACCATTTTTTTTTTTTTTTTTGAGACAGAGCCTCAAGCTGTCCCCCTGGGTAGAGTGCCATGGCATTACAGCTCACAGCAACCTCCAACTCCTGGGCTCAAGCAAGTCTCCTGCCTCCGCCTCCCAAGTAACTGGGGCCACAGGCGCCCGCCACAACGCCCGGCTATTTTTTGGTTGCAGCCGTCATTGTTGTTTGGCGGGTCCAAGCTGGGGATTCGAACTCGCCACCTTAGGTGTACGTGGCTGGCTACTCTCCACCATTATTAAGGTCCAGAGGCCCCCTTCCCAGGCCTGGCCCACCCCTAGCCCATCTAGTCTGCCTACTCTTTCTTGTGGCCTTGTCCTTAGCCAGGCTCCACTCCCCTTCCCTCACCAGGGCCTTGTGCTTGTGCTTTCCATGGCTCCACAGCTGAAATAATCTATGTTGCTGCCACTACACCCCACTCCTACAAAACTACCACTCTCCACACAGCTCTCACTTAGGGGCAACTTTCACACCAAACTCCATAGCCCCACAAAGTGTGCTGCCCTTCATAAAACTTACACTCCATTTTCCCCTTCAGGGAACCTAATGAGTGATAGTGGCTTGCATTTACTAAAGGTGGACTGGGTGCCAGGGGAAGGCACCACCTCCCCTGCTTTGTCCATCATTTAACCTTTTCTAACCCCAATTTACAGATGAGAACAAGTACTCAGTAATTCAGTAATCTGAACCCAGGAAATCCAACCAAGGGCCCGCCCTCTAACCACTGCTCTGTAACAGCAGTTTTTTGGAGAATCCTCCAATACTCTAAGCTTGCTGAGGGGGGACTTTTCCAATGTGCAGGGCACACAATAAGAAGGCAAATATTTATAGAATGCAACACAATTATTCAATTTTTTTTAATGTAAGCAGGTCATTTCACTCCTACAGTTAAAAACTTCTAATGGCTAGGCATGTCAGGATAAAATCCTAAATGTTCATGACAATCAATATGCAAAGTTCCAGGCAGTACACCTCATCCTCTGCTAATCACCTCCTCAGACCCTCACATTACCCAAGCATACCAGCCTCACCTCCTGGCATTTCCTCAGACACAAGCACCACACACCTCAGAGCCTCTGCACTTGCTGGTCTTTCTACCTAAGATACTATTTCTCTAAATATCTGTACTGTCTACTCTTTACTTCCTTCTGGAGCATCAATTCAAATGGTACTTGAGCTGAGGCCACTCCTGACCACTCTATCCCAAACACCACTCATTCAACACCCATTCACACACCCCTGCTTTTTTTTTTTTTCAAAGACAGGTCTTGCTCTGTTGCCTGGACTGGAGTGCAGTGGTGTAATCACTGTAGCCTTGAACTCCTGGGGTCAAGCCATCTTCCTGCCTTAGATTCCTCCATTCATCGCTCTTTATCCCCTTACCCTGCTTTATTTTTCCTGCTGACAGTTATTACCGCCTACCATATATTTCTTTACAGTCTCCCTTCTCTCCCTACCAGCATCCAAATGTAAGCTCTATGAGAATAAGGACAATGTCTGTTCTGTTCACTGCTTTCTCTCTGGTGCCTAGAACTCTGCCCACAGAATCAAAAATATCTGTTTTTGTGAATGATGACCTCTGATTCCTTGACCTATCTCCAATCTGTCCCTCTCCATCAGGGCCCTCCTGTCTTCACTGCCATTATTATTTCACTCTCCCATTTTGCTAATATCCTGGATTCTTTTGCCTCCCATCAAACCTGTTGGAAGGCAGTAGTGGCTGGATGCATTCCACACTTTCTTACCAACGCCTCACCATGAAAAAAGCCCATCACCAAGCACAAAGCCTGTCAACTCTGGGTCCTCATAACCAGCTTGGCTTTTATGTTAGAAAATCCCTTCTTTAACCCTCCCATGTGGTAGCTGGTAACAGACTCTCCCTTCAACACAGAGACCATCCACAGCTGCGCACCAAACCAACGAACTTGCCTATCTACACCCATCTCTGCATCCATTTGCTTTTCACAAGGGAAGAGGGGGATGCTTCTTCCCTGTTGTACTTAGAGGTCAGAGACCCTTCTGCCACTTTCTCCTCCACTACAACGCCCACCCCATCCCGGCGCTGGCACAAATCTCCACCGTAAATCTCCATCTGGCTGCGGGCTCCTCATCTCAGCTTCGCAGCCCGGCCAGATTCTAGGAATCCCACTCCGTCTCCACTTTCCAGAAGCCTGTTCATCCAGACCTCACAGCAGCGGCACCTAAAAACCATCCCCTGCCCCCACCTCACAAGGCCCTCTCTGGAGTGTTTCACCCTGCCCTCCCCAGCCGCAAATGCTCTACCCGAAGCTTCCCGCTGCACTCTCCTGGCTTCCCCACTCTTCACTTTCCCCTTTGAAGCCCTTCGGACCCACGACAGTGGCGTGCTTGCTGGAAGCTGGTGACCCCGGAAGCTGGTGTCCACTTGGCTAGCTCGACCCCCGGGGCTGTAAGACCCCAGGCGGGGACTGCCGGCTCTCCCCAGGCCCGGCACGGAGCGCTGCACACGGTGGGCGAACATAAATTGTGCTAAGCGCAAGAATGCGTCCGACTAGAACTGGTTGGTGCATTCGCCACCAGGAAGAGTGCCATTCCCAGCGGCCCAACCAGGAAACGCTCCCGGTTCCTGCAGAACTGGCACTTGGGGTGGGCGCAGGGCCCTACCGCGGCTGTAGACTGGCGGGAGCCAAGATTCCCGCGAGGCCGCCTCTCCTAGGAGGTTTCCACTAGGCAGGGCACACTGCCAGCCACCTGGGCGACAACGTTCAGGCCGAGGCCCCGCAGCAGTCGCCAGCAGGCCAGCGACCAGGCGCGTCTCTGCGGGCGCCCAGCCAAAGTCACCAAAGCCGGGGGTGGGGGGCGCTCACCTCGAACAGGTGGAAACCCTCGGTGCCGCCCGTGGGCTCCTCAGCGCTGGTGCCCAAGCCCATAATAGTGAATCCGCTCGGCGCCCACAACCAGTACAGCTAAACCGCCACGACAGGCACACCCGGCGCTCCGACCGCGGCTAGCTCTCTCGGCGCTCGATTACCTGTGCCTTGTCACGTGGAGTCCTTTGCTACTCCCATTGCTCGCTCTGACGCTCTTAGCAACCGGCTAGCAGCCCCGTTTCCAAGGACGCTCGCGCCTCCAACTTGCGGCCTCTAGAGGCGTGCCTAGGACCCTGACTCCGGAATCCGGCTTCGCTCAGCCCCCACCAGACCCAGACTAAGAGCCACTAGCAGCCCGAGATGAGCAGCAATGATGCCTCCCTCTTGGTGCGTGGACTGGAGCTACCCGGCTGCTCCCTCCGAAACACTTTGTCCCTGGCCCAGTGACCCTGCACCCTGCTGCTCTCCTGCCACCTCTCTGGCCACACTTCGCTGTCCCCAGCTGTCTCAGGCGCTTCTGTCCTTTTTTCCCTCACTATCTCTGGCAAGTGTATCGGCTTTGGTGCCCTCTGTGTATCCTGGGCCCCAAATTAGCATCCCCCACCCAGTCCTGTCCCCTGAGCTTTCCCAAATCAATTCATCCATCTCCATCATCTTGTCATCCACCCCAGCCTGGTCTGTGCTTCTTCTACTTCCCTTGCCTCAATAGATGGCACCACCATTTGATCTCCCAGCTTCCATCCGCACCTCTTCCTTGTACCCATCTCATAGTCCTATCTGTCAATGAGAAATGTCATAAATGTCTTCTGGGTTCACCCACTTATTTTTACTTCCTAGGCCAGGACCACCACCATCTCTTCCCTCGACACCTGGGACAGCCTCCCTCCCATCTGGTTTCACTGCTTCAGCATTCTTCACCAGCACCACCACCACCACCACCACATACACACACTCACACACACACACACACACACACAGAGCGGCCAGAGTGGTTTTTGCAAAAGTGCATGTCTGAACACATTCTTCTCGTTGAAACCATTCCAACTGCTTCCTATTACTCTTAGGATGATCTCTCAGCTCTTTCAAATGACCTACAAGGCCATTTACAATCCAACCACATTTATTCCCAACCAAAACCCACAAACTTTAGGAGAAGTGAGATTTAGCTTTAAAATCTCAGCCCCAATGACTGCATGACCTTTGTCAAGCCATAGGCTCCATGGGCTTCAGCTTCCTTAACTTTGAAAGATATAGAAAGGATCATGCACAAGATAATGGATGAAAAGCCCTTGATAACAGTTTTCAACGTTATCCCACAATAACTTTTTCTTTTTCTTTCTTTTTTTTTTTTTTGCCATTTTTGGCTGGGGCTGGGTTTGAACCTGCCACTTCCAGCATATGGGACCAGCGCCCTACCCTTTTGAGCCACAGGCACCACCCCACCACAATCACTTTTAACTATAATTATTTGTATAATTTTTCTTATTATTGGTCTTCACTCTTTCCCCTTATTCCATTCATAACACAAAGGCTGAGTTGAATTCCTAATTACATTTGAAGAAGATTGTGTTGATAATCCCCAAATAAACAACACCAAACTCCTTTCCAGGGAACTGCATGGAGTGGCTTCCAAGGCTGCTAAGGACAGAACAGGACCTGAATGTTCCCTCTTTCTCTTCCCTTTCCTTAACTGAGGAGGGGGAGGAGATAGAGAAGGAAGCAGACCACATACCATCTGGGACAGGACAGAGACAGAGAAGGGATGGGAGCTGTTGCAACTGTGTCTTTCTCCACCTAGGCTAGGATCATTTACTATAGCCAGGAAAAGTACTTTCACCACGTACAACAGGCTGCGGTTGTGGGCTTGGAGAAATTCAACAATGACCCTGTGTTACAGTTCTTTAAAGCCTATGGGGTCCTCAAGGAAGGTAAGTACTTAACAGCATTGGTCTTATGACCCTAGGTACTAGCCTAGTCCTAACCCTCTGGGCTTCACCTGGATGCCTACTTATATCCTAGTTATGTTCCCATGACAATAGTCTTATACTCAGTGACTGGCTTCCCGGGTAAATCCATAGAAGCCTATATAATCCCTATCTAGTTGATTTTTGAGACCTCAGAGTGCTCCCTATCCCTGCTCTGCTACCTCAATTTCCCCATCTATAAAATGAGTGGTTGAAGAGACGGCTGCATGATTATGGAACTAATTCCAGGCCTGCAAGCTAAGAGCTGGTAGTACAGGAAGAGAAAGAGGAAGTTTTAGGTATGTGTACAAATAGGTATGGTGCAGGTGCAGGGAGAGGAGGCCCCCGTGTAGGTGCCAGACTTGCCTACATGCAGCAGGCAGTGCTGCACTTGGGGTTGGCTGAGCTGCCCATGGCCAATATCAGGGAACACAGACAAATGGACTCAGTAGCTCTTGAGCACTAGCTGGGAGTGCCCTGCCTAAGGTCCTTCTTCAGAAATGACCCAGCCAATAATTCCAGCCTCATAAGTATCCGCACAAGTACTTATAAGTATACTTCGCAGCTCAAAGACCTACAGCCCCTGGCAGCCTGGGCCAAGGTACCAGTAGCCCTCTCAGGGAGCTCCAGTCTTCATGGAACTCAGGCCACTGGGGACCTTTCCAACCAGTTAGTTTTCTGATTCTGAATAAAACCAGGTGGTGCCAAGCCATGGTCAGCTCTTATAGAGATGCCATGAGTCTGCTACAAAATCTCCTGGCTTCTGGGTGGTGCCTGTGGCTCAAAGGAGTAAGGCACTGGGCCCCATATACTGGAGGTTCAAACCTGGCCCAAGCCAAAAAAAAAAAAAAACTGCAAAAAGAATTAAAAATCCCCTGGCTTCTGGGAATAGACCCTGAAAATATAACCACGTGGTTTCTCTTTGTAGAGCGCATCCAAGATGCCATCAGTGACCTGGAGAACATCCAGAATCACCCAGACACGTCCCTGTGCTCTATCATGGCCCTTATTTATGCCCACAAATGCTGTGAAACCACTGGTGAGTTCACCCATGCTCAGCCAGACCTGGCCCACAGGGTAAAGAAACCCCCACTCCAGAGATTCAAGGACTGCTAAACGAGATGTGTACATTTGTAACTGTGAAGGTGCAGGTGGCCAACAAGGAGTGGCTGCTGCCCCCTCCCTCAGAGAAAAGCCCATGCCTGCACTCAGTTGAGTGGGAGCAGGCAGAGAGCATTATATGGGAGGGGTTCTCCCTCCAGATCCTAAGAGTTGGGGAGATTGCCAAGACCTTGCCAGAAAAATCAAGCCAATATAAATAATTCTACCCAATCTTCACCTCTCTAGAGACAGAAAGAGGTTCTAAGAATGACTATAAATGGCTATTTCCCACACAGAATGAGTTGTGGGGCCTGAGGTAGAGAATTCAGTTGTGGTCTGTCTGCTGAGCACACTGCTGGGCACAGAGAAGAAAAGATAAATCTCAGAAAACCTGGTTCCAGGACTGATCAGCCCCATGGCATCTCAGTCAGCTACATGTGTTAAGAGAGCCCCACAGTGTCTGTGGTTTCCTGAGTTCTCAATGTCCCCCAGAGAAGCCGGCAAACTTCCTCACCCTAACTCATATTCTTCCTCCACTCTTGGATTTACAGACCGAGAAGCAATTCAGGAGCTAGAGTGTAGCCTGAAGGAATTACGCAAGAAGGCCAGCGATACTGCCCTGTACTACGCCAGCCTCTTCCTCTGGCTTGTGGGCCGCCATGACAAAGCCAGAGAATACATTGACCGCATGCTGAAGGTTTTTTATGGCTCCAGAGAAGTACCCACCACAAGCATCATGAGGGCAACACCTGAAGAAAGCAGCATTCAGGCTCTTCAGAGCAGGGTAGTCTATTACTCTTAAAAACAACCCTGAAACTGGGGGAGGGCTGCACCCAGGCACTGACAAGACTAGGTCTCACAGGTACCCCACCCATATTGTCTCAGGGTTTAGCAGCAGTCACATATTGGTATTTGTCCAGAGTCTGACCTCTACAGAGGTTTTCTGTGGCCTACACTATAGTTTGAATAAGTTGCTGACATTTAGAAGTCAGAATATTTTTACCCAGAAAAGTCCAGATTTCCCAGTTTTATTTGTTTGTTTTTTAATCCAGCTGCACTGCCACAATGGGCCAGTGCCTCCCTGCAGTGACCTGCTGCATATGAGTGGTGGCTCAGCTTATAGGTCTGAACTAGCAGGGCTAATAGCAACTTTTAAGGGTGTAAAAATTGGTTCTTAGGGAGGGGATGAAAAATCTTCCTTTTTATGTATAAAACATAGATATACATGCAGTACACAACATATAGATATAGTACATCTAGGATATTAAAATTTCTTAGAGGGGGAGGAATTGGTTAGGAAAAAATATCCAAAAAGATTGCTTTGGGCTTGGCGCCCGTAGCACAGTGGTTATGGCACTGGCCACCTACACCAAGGGTGGTGGGTTGGAACCCGGCCCAGGCCAGCTAAACAACAGTGACAACTGCAACAATACCAACCAAAAAAATAGCTGGGCGTTGTGGCGGATGCCTATGGTCCCAGCTACTTGGGAGGCTGAG